TGCCCCTAGCTACTTAGGACATGGACAGGACCCCAGAGAGGGATGAAACAGCCTGTTTATGGTGGGCTTCATCCACACGACTGCTCAGGAGTCCTGGTGGTTTTTTGTTTTGTTTTTTAATTTATTTAGTTTTAAAAAATTTTTGGCTGCATTGGGTCTTCTTTGCAGTGCACGGGCTCTAGGCGCACGGGCTTCAGTAGTTGTGGCACACGGGCTTAGTTGCTCCACAGCATGTGGGATCTTCCCGGACCAGGGCTCGAACCCGTGTCTCCTACATTGGCAGGTGGATTCTTAACCAGTCCTGGTGTTTTAACAAGAGTTACAAACTAGAAGGATCTGCTCTAAGAGTCTCAGTTGTGGTTGATGCCACATGGAATGGGGACCACGGGAGTGGGGCAGGAACACGGCCTCAAGGTAGCGGTTTTCAAGTTTTGCCACACGTTAGAATCACCTGGGAGCTCTGGCCCAGGGTGCACTCTGTGGCCCAACTCCAAATGTCTGGGGTGAGACCATCAGCAGCTCTGAAAGATGGTTCAAAGGGGCACCATTGATTAGGAGCCGCCGCCAGAGGGTGTGAAAGTCGGGCTTTGAAATAAACGTGAGCTGGGTTTGGGGCGCAGCTTAGCCTGTGTAATTTTGGGCTTCTGGTTTCCAGGTGCTTCATTCAATCCTTGCAGAGCCCTAGGATATGGGTGGGTAGGACCCCTGCTTCACAGGTGAGGGACTGAGTCCCGGGTCGCCAGGCCGCGAGCTGGTGGTCAGGCTGCTGCCACCTCACAGGACCAGGGCTGCCCCAACCTCAAAGGTCCGGAGACACAGTCTCACTGTTGAGGTGGGGGCAGTCCTGGGTGAGGGCTCGTTAGATGTGCCCCAGGTATGCAGAGGGCAGCCTGCCTCAGCCAGCAAGCTTCAGAAATTCCACGGTTTGTATACAATCATTAAGAGTATGCAGTCTTGGACTTCCCTGGCTCTGCAACAAGAGAAGCCATAGCAATAAGCCTGTGCACTGCAACGAAGAGTAGCCCCCGCTCACCGCAACTAGAGGAAGCCCGTGAGCAGCAACAAAGACCCAATGCAGCCAAAAATATATTAAAAAAATTATAAAGAATATGCAATCTTTGAAGAATTTTAATGACCAGGAGAAACGTTCATGATGGAATGATAAAGAAGTAAACAGAACAAGGAGGATATAAAACCACACGTCCTGATCTCAATTTTGTGTCTGTACATGTGTGTACGTGTGTGTGTCTTCTTGGATAGAAAAGAGACAGAAGTAAACACACTGACATTTTAACAGAGGTCATTATATCGGGTTATGAGATTATGGATGGATTTTCCTTTTTCTTTTCCTTATTTTCCAAATTTTCCTCAATAAGCAAGTATTTCTACAATTAGGAGGAGCTAATAAACTTTCGTTTTTAGAAATATATGAGAGGGATCATGGCATTATGGTTCTGTGTGTGTTCTTTAAGCTCTCGCCTTTTAGAAATACATGCTAA